TCTCACTAAGGCATGGTTCCTGAGAAGAAATTGGTACCTGATTGCGTTGGTCTTGCGAATCATTCGCGATAGCTTTACTCGAACCGCCAGTCTCATGCATCGTCGCTTTCCCAGGTAACGCTTGAATCAACAAATCAAGTTTGCGCCCCAGCTCCAAGAATCGTCGATCATGGAGTGCGTTCGTTGCATCCAAATCCACCCTCAAGGACTCAAGCTTTGAATCCGTTCGATTTTCCGATGTGCGTATCTGATTCTTCATCTCCGTTAACTGGCTGTAGAACTCTATCGCTGAAGCTTCGGCTTGCTCCTCCGCCGTCGACTCTCGAATCGGCGACAACTCCTGCGCCGGTGCTCTCCCCATCGTCGTTTCTATTCTTTCAATTGAGAAAAATTCTCCCAAATCTTGAAACCCAAACTCGTCGGTTGCGTTAGATTCGAGCCGAGATCACAATCGCACCATTTGTTAAGAAAAGAACTCTCCTTCCCTTTATTAACCCAAAACAGAATCGATTACAGCCACATATATGTGAAGAAGAGTCTCTAGACGCAGCTAGACATTACTCTCTCTCCTCAGAAGACTCATACGTCTCTGTTTACACATACAACAACATAAGAATGATAAAATGTCAAATGCTATAGTTTTATACAAGTATCTTTCTCCCACGTGCCATCTTCTTCTTCTACACGTGTTATGTTTGTTCTATTTCTTCTCCTTGTATACACTTGCATAGGCTTATCAAAGAGAATGACTTGATGGTCAAGAAACTAAGCGAATCGGCTCTAGCGCAATCTCCCGTGAATCTGAAGAAGACCCTTTTCACGCTAGTTGCTAGTATCGTCTGTAGGCTCGCATTCGGGGGTAAATATCCACAATTGCGAGTTCGTCGACGAGGACAACGTTGCGGATCTAGTTCACAAGTTTGAGATGCTTGTCGCTGGTATTGCGTTCACTGATTTCTTCCCCGGAGTGGGTTGGCTTATCGACCGGATCTCAGGTCAGAACAAGATACTGAACAATGTTTTCTCTGAGCTTGACACTTTCTTTTCATGCTCGATGACCATCTTAGGCCTGGAAGAAAAGATGATGTAGACCTAGAGAATCAATGTCTCAAATAACGATCCAAGGCTATGATATCCCTGCAAAGACGTGGATCCAAGATTTGGGAAAACCCTGAAGAATTCAGGCCTGAGCGGTACGTTGATAGTGATTTCCATTTCAAGGGACAAAACTTTATTTTTGATTTCATATAAGATTTGCTCATACGCTCAACGGCTCATCAAATAGTAGCTTATTGCTCATATAAAAGTGAAATTAGAATTCATATAAGATTGAAAACAGTAACATATTTTAGTTTGATTTCATGCCATTATTATTGTTTATAGATAACAATATTTTAAAAACGCAAAAAATAAAAAATAAAAAAAATCAAGATTTGCAAGGAAAGGTGCAGAGGCAGCTCTGAATAGATACGTTTGGGAAGCACAAGCCAGTTCCATTCCATTTTTGCTTACAGAGAGAGGCACAGGTGGCTGCGACACAGTTTTGACCTCTCATTAGAATATCATGACACATCTCTGCCGTCACCATCCCTGATACAAATATTTATTTTATTAAAAAAATTCCCATAGAATAAAAACAATAATTATAAATGGTTTAATATGTTTAGAGAATGGTAGATGTAATTCAAACCAAAAACGAGGACGATCGTAAAGATTGCAAGAAGAACTGTGGCTTTAGTCATCGTTTGATTTTTTGTACAAAAGAAATTGAAAGTTGAAAACTGTAGCTGCAATGTTAATGGCAATGTATCCACACATGCAGAGATATATATATTAAGAATTTATTACTAGCATATCTATTTCCCAGCATATATAGAAAAGAATAGGAAGGATATAGGAATGATGGGAATGGAAACAAAATCTTAAAAATTTTATCTGAATAGGAAGGATATATACAACAAAACCATAAAAAATATATCTGAATAGGAAGGATATATACAACAAAATCAATTATAATGAAAGCTAATAAGAACACAATTAGAAACGTGTAACAAATATTTGTATACATTAAATGGTCCAAGATGCATTCTCTATTTTTGTCCATAAAAATATATTGCAACATTTTAATAGAAAAGAACAGCATTTTAATAGAATCAAAGTGATTATCCTACAATTCGGAAATTGATGTAAAATAAGCTAAAATTAATGTTTTAAACATTTAACTAGAACTAGACAAGGAAAGAAGAAGAACGCTTCTGGCATCTTGATATTTCAAAGATTGGTGTGACAAATGTGATTAAATGTTACAACAGTGTAATGAAAACTGAGAGAGGTTGTTATCTAGCCAATGATACATCAGATCAATAGTAGTTTCTGTAATAAGACTGATTGTTATTCTGCTGATCTAATTCAGCAGTAAACTCCGTCGACAAGAGACTTGCCTTCATAGTTCTTCCTTCAGGTTCCTTGAGATACATCCGGTCATCTAAGTACGCCGTGATATCGGCTATGATCAGTTGTAGATCCGATGTGTCCTTTTTCGCCCTCAATCTCTGCAAGAAATGCTCTTTCACAACATTCACAACTTTCACAAACTGAGATTTGTAACGCTGATGAAGACCAAACCCTGCCGTCTACACCACACACAAACAGATATCACAGTTATGATTTGAAGACGGTTTTTAATTTAGAATCGGCATTTGAAATCGATGCTTTTCTAAGCACCTGGAGGAAGGCGTTTAAGGCTGTTGCAGTAACTCTGTTGTTGGCTGAGATTTTGTTAAGGAACCGGGCTAACCAAGCCCATCCATGTTCTATCCCATGAATGTTAGTAGCATTGCCACCTCGAATATCCGTCTGTAGTTACCATTAGAAAAAAGACTCACATTACTGGACTATGGAAATAGCAATGCATAAGAGATAGTTCATAGAAGAGGCAAAAACCTGGACAAGCGCACCATAGAGCCTCATTATAGAACCTAGGCGTTCATATGCTTCTGAATCCCAAGCTGACTGAATTCAATTGGAATAATTATTAAGAAAAGCAATGGTCTCTAATAATTTTGTCAAAATATTTATTAAAGAAGGTCATGTACCTGTGAGTTTACTATATGCTTTGGGACAGTGTAAATGCACGCTCTGTGGAATTCAGCAAGAAGAATATCCATAGCTTGTGGAAACTGTGGGCATTAATGGTAGATGATATTCAATAATAGTAACTGGAACAAGAAGCCAAAGTACACACATATTAAAATTCAAAAGCGAGTTTTATACCTGCGAGGTAACGTAAACAATGACGTAGCTGCATGCAAATGGGTTTTGCTTAGAGGAGACCATCTAAGAAACAGCAATACAATAATAGCATCCGTCAATCACAGAGTCCAGAAGATAATCAAACATATGAACATATCAAAGAGTTCTTTACCAATTAGACCCAAGCTCAACAACTTTAGTCATTTTCAACATCCAGCAGTACAATATGAACAGGTGAATGTTTAACTGGACATGAAAGGTTACCTTCTTTGCAAAAGTTGCAATACTGATGGATACTGGACAACTAGGGTCTTTGAATATTTTGATAATTTCATTGATTTTCGCACTGCAAAATCCCAAGCCAGAAGTAGTTATAAACAAAAAAAGAGTGAACCAACTCCATGAGAGACGCCTATGCAAGGTTAGGCCAAACCCTCTTCACTTAAAGGCTTATAAATTGACATTTTCACAAGTAAAACAAGACCAGGATTCCCAGAATATTATGTAAAAAACAGACAGGCATATACCAGCAGAGGAGAAAAGCAAGGTTCTTAACCTTGTCTGGGGAAAAGCTGACAGATTACAGGCAGAAACTATGAACCATACCTTACATTATCTTTTACCCCACTTATTTGCCTTATCACTCTTCCTATACGCTTTTCAAAACTGCTAAAATCCTACAAACAGTTAAAAAAAACCACATAACTTGTGAGCAAATATGGATGATAGTACGGATTAAAAAACGTAAGAAAAGGATACGTACATCATTTGAACGTGATTTTAGCGATTGGTTCATTGCTTCCAACTCTTCGAGCTTCTTCAATCTGTGCTTCTCCAATGTCAAAGCATTTTCTGCAGCTTGGATTGATTTACCTTGTACGATATAATAATGAACAGTACAAGAATTGAGATCACAATCTTCGATATGAGAAAGAAAGAACAACCACAGCAATGTAGAAGAAAAATATGTACTAAACAGCAGATCACTCACCCCCAGCTTGAGCATTCGATGTAGCTGAACTAGCAGCAACACTAAGTCGCTCTTTCACAGCTTTCTCTTCTGCAAGTTTTTGTTCAGTAGCTTTGCGATCTGCTTCTTCCTTTTCAGCTACTTCTTTTGCTGCCTTTCTCTCAATTTCTTTATTTGCTTCTTCAGCTCTGAGTTTTGCTAGCATCTAATAGAAACAAAAGAGAAAATTTTTAAGAAAACTGAGTAGCTGAAGGATAACATCCATATTGTTCAATCAAGAAACACATACTTCAGCCTCTACACGAGCTTTTTCTTGGCGTATTTTCTCTTCTTGATGAGCCCTTTCTCTCCTCCTGGCTTCCTCCTCGCTCCTTATTTTTCTTTCTTCTATTTGCGATTTAATTTCATGTTCACGTTGGATTGCTGTCAAATGGGTATCAAGTGCTTCAGCACTAACAAAAAAACAGTATCAAGAAAAACACATTATTTCCCAAAAATTGGAGACATTAAAACACAGTATGAACTAAACTGGCAAGAAAATGCATTCCTGAAACTAGAATGCTAGGAAAAATATCTTACACTTTTCGCTGATATTGAAGATCAAGTTTCCGTTCTACTTCTTTTCGAGTTTCGCTGTACTTCTCAACCCGGGCTATTGCAGAGCGAGACGTTTCAATCTCATTCATTATTTCCGTTTCAACAACAGTTACTTGATTCCTAATGTCGTCCTGTAATCAAGAGACCCAATCAATTGGTTAAGTACACCAATCGAAATAAAACACTCAACAATATGCACCTTGTTAACAACAACAAAAATTCTACCCACCTTAATTTCGGTTTGGTGGTTGTTAATCACATCATATAGGGCACTCTCAGCCAGGCCCATCTTATTCATCATATACTCAGGTTCATTGTCAAACTCATCATCAGATTCATCACTGTAAGAACAAAAAATAACGAATTAAAACATCAAACAACACTCAATTCGGCTTTCTAAATTTTAAAACAAGCTAGCAAGGACGAGTTGGTGGTGATCACCTCAAGTATTCATCACAGGCAAAACGTTTCCCCACTGTACAGATTTGACTATATTCTTCTTCTTCTTCTTCACTCTCTTCATCCTCATCATCACTGTCCATCTCATCTTCAGATACATGCATTACAAAGCCTCCACTACTCCTTCCCATCCTTTTAACACGCCAATGAACATCAGAAACGATATATGCTTCTAAATTTATAAAAATAATAATCATAAGGACTTCTAAGGAGACTATGATCAAGACTTCTACCACTCTATTTCTAAGTAACATTGTTATCAATCCCAAATCAATGCAGAACTCCAGAATGAACTAAACATAGATCGAAAGAGAAATATATATATACCTTGAGGAGGCTGTGTCAGTAATTGGCTGAGGAAACTTCGAAAAGGCATTGAGCTTCTTTTCAACAGAAGCGATCTCAGATACTAAGCTATCAAAATTCCAGTTAGGCTCAGGATCAATGCTAATCCCATCAACGCTTCTTGGACAACGAGGCTCCAACAAAACAATTCCCCTGCATAAGATAATCAAGCAATATTGAAATAAAAATCCCCAAAAAAAACTAAACTTTGCGAATATGATAAGAGAGCTTACATTATACAAATCGGCGAAAAAACCAATAACACAATCCTTCAAGCAGCAGAACAAAAGCTTCAAGACAACACAAAACAAGTTGGTTCACTCCCTTGAACTATATTGATTGCTCCACAAGAGATCGTCTCTGGCTTCTTCTTGCTCTCTCGGATGAGCGATAAAAACGAACTCATGCCTTTGCTTTTTTTTGTACAAATTCACGTAACAGCCTTACCTTAACCAAACTCTATGAATCGAAGAATCCTGCAGACGGTGGTCAATCTCGACCCTTCTTTAACTTAAATCGAATGCGAACTTTTTATCCCTAAAGTGACGAAAGCGTAAAATCAACGCTCGTATGTTTAAATTTCGATTTTAACATTAACCCAACCCCCCCAGAAAGAAAAAGGATTGGGAAACTTGAGGTTCGGTGAATCGGAAGATCACAAACCCAGACCGGAGGAGAGAATTCGCGTCGTTTCCTTTCTAAATAACCCTAGGCTTGTAAACGACGTCGTTATCAAAATAAATTAGATTAAAGAGAACCGGTCGGTTTAAATCAGATCGCTTCAAGAAGTCTCTGCTGTATATATTAGAGAACCGGTCGGTTTTAATCAGATCGCTTCAAGAAGTCTCTACTGTGTATATATTAAAATTGAGCTCACTATTTATTTGTTTTCTTTGGAGGTAAGCATATAAATACTCTCTTCTTTATAAAAAATCGGAGTAGTTTTCATAGAAACCAAGAAAACCTTGTGTTGTTGTGTGTTAGGACAAACACCAAAAAGGAGTATTTTACTTGGACGTATAGGTTAAACTTGAACGGTCGTTTTGTGTCCAACGCTTTTAAGTCTCTCTTAACTTGTGATTTTCTGAAATAGTGTAGTGTAATTCATGATTAATTACGAGTGAGAGTAATTGTATCTTTGAAATAAGAATTTTACATTCAAAGATATATAGACATTTTGACTTTATAATTTATAATTTGTACATTTTTCCCATGTCTCTTTTACTCTTTTACTTTTCCTTTTTTGGTCACATGTTGATAAGTTGATTAACGGAATTATGAATAATAGTTGCAAATATTTTTTGCGCTCAATTTAATTAGTAGCATAAAAGATGGTCTTGCAATTTATAATGAATCATTGATCTCGTCACTAGCTAGAAGGGAAACATTATTACAAAGTAGCTAATTAAGTACAAATGCTCTTTTTGTTTGACGTTAAACAGCTTTTAGGTAAAATAATAATTGTATAACAGCTCAAGTAAATAATTGTCATTAAATTATATTTATAATTATTCTCAATAAGTATATAACTTCAGATATAATAGTTGGTAACGCATTTGGTTTTTTGGGTACGTTCACATTAAACGCATATATCAACTACGTAGTTGACAATATAACATACACCACTTGAAAAATGAATTAAAAAAAAATGTCGACTCGACAAGCATTCTAGATGCCAATTAACAACAACTTCATATAATTACCAACGTTAAATTTTGATCCTGATTTAGTTCTTAATATATTAATGGTGTGATCAGTTCACAAACAAAAAAAAATTGTGGTGTGAGCTAGCTAGTATATTTTTACAGGGGTGAAAAGACTTTGGATATTTCATAACGTTGAATTAACACGTAATAGAGAGGAACTAATATTAAAGTAAATCATACCTTATAAGTTTATGATATACTAGCAGTTGACCCGCGTGGAGCGCGGGAGGTTTATAATTTTGTTTTGTTGATTTTTTATTCATATTGTGATATTTTATTATTATTTTTAATTGATTTTCAAAAAATATTATAATTATTTTCTCTTTAATTATTATCTTTTAATACTCAAATTTGGATTAAAAGAATTTGATTCAATTTATGAAATATCATTTTTTCTTTCTTTTTGATCATGTTATAAACTAATATTTCACTTTCATTTTATTTTTCCTCTTTATAATTTTTATATATACAATTTCATAAATGTTGTTTTAGTCTACCATAAATTTAAATTTTACTTCCATTCTAAAACTCAGTAACATATTTAAAATATTAAATTATGATCAATTTAAAATGAAAGTTTAATTATATTATTACCACTAATAAAAAAAATTAAAATATTGTTTTTCTTATTTTAACATTTAATTTTTTTACATAGTTTATTTTTATTTATATAAACTTTCTATTTATTAAATAAGTAACATAAATATGCAATAAATGAATGTTTTAAATTTATTTTAATGTTTAAGCAAAAATGTGGCTTAGGTGGATGCTTAGGTGGCATCATGAGAATAGAGAAAAAGTTAACTTTATATATATAGATGAATAGTAAAGGAAGAACAATTTTTATGAAAGAGACATTTACTCCTCAGCTAGCCCTCTCTCTTTATAAATAAGACTATCGTCAATTTGGTTCTCCAACACACAAAAGAACAACTTAACTTCATAAAAGAAATGACGAGAAAAGAGCCAAAACGCATGTTCTGCATTTTCACATTCTTCTGTTTCTTCTTCTCATTCACTGCACAACACACCGTCCCAAACATGGCTCATCCCCTCTCCACGAGCTCCCGTTGGATCGTTGATGAGAAAGGTCAGCGGGTAAAGCTCGTGTGCGTGAACTGGCCATCGCATCTCCAGCCCATTGTAGCGGAAGGGCTGAGCAAGCAACCGGTGGATGCACTGGCCAAGAAGATAGTGGACATGGGTTTCAACTGTGTTAGGTTAACTTGGCCTTTGGATTTGATGACTAATGAGACATTGGCTAATAATGTCACAGTAAGACAATCTTTTCAAAGCCTTGGTCTTAATGATGATATTGTTGGCTTCCAAACTAACAACCCCTCCATCATTGATCTCTCCCTCATTGAAGCTTACAAGGTACTCTTATAGTCTTATAACATCTTCAGTTTCTTGATTCCAAATATAATAATTAGTTGCGTTTCATTTATGTTTTTTCTTGGCCATGATCATTTACATTGCCATTTGAATTACACCAACAAGAGATTTAGGGAGGTAAAGATTAAAATTCTCATGCAAATAGTGAAAACACGGTTTCTGAATATCTATGTTTTAGGAAGGTGATTTAAATATTTATTGCACCTGTGAGATATATTTATGCAATATGCATAGATATTTGGACAAAAGAAGAAAAGAAGTATAGTATATACGCATAGATATACACGTGCACGTCAGTACATCATTTTCATGTGTCATGTGAATATGTAACAAATTTTCTCATTAAAGTGAATAAAATTTTAAACTATATACAACTTTGTATATTTTGACATATTTAAAGTAGTTATATTCCCATGATATATCGTTCGACTTCACACTTCGTTCAAATGAAACTAAATTAGACGACTACATCCTCAATCCTAAAGATTAAACATTTATCATCTACAAGAAAATATCAAATATATATGTTATTTATAAGTTTAAAAAATAAGAATAATTAAAACTAGCCAGGCATATATATTTAAGGTGCATGGTAGGTGGACTTATGTTTAAAACTTTTGGGGAAAGATGTTTTGACATATTGAAATGTATCTGTTTAACAAATTTTTGTAAGTCCAAATAAATTCTTAATTAAGATTCATTTAAATAAATATAAATTGATAGAAGAACGATGTTTCAAGTTTCAATGTTGCTTATCAAACTACTACACGTATTGAAAATGTAGAAGAACCAATCTGACTAAAGAACACGTCAACTCTTGAAGGGAAAAAAAAACATCATATACAAAATCCATAATGAATTATTAGTTGGGGTTTGGTTGGGAATTGTTATTAAAAAAGGTCTTAAGTTAAACAAAATTCCTGAAAAGAGAGAAACATTGTTATATATATTCCGGTACGGTCTATATGCTGAGACATGTCATTAGTCAAATTCTTAATTAAGAATTGTTTGGTAGTGGGTAAATGTGAAGTTAATGTTAACACCAGAACACAAAAGGCTCGTGACGTTTGTTTGGCATTTTTCATTTTCTGCTCGAATAAACTAAGTCTATGTCTCAATGACTTGTTCTCTCCTTAATGGGTATATAAATGCATTTGTGTAATCCATATTTATTGCATACATGATTGTTTTTTGCAAATGAACAAGACGTACCTACCACTTATGATTGTGAAAGTATATATATGAATCACATTCGTAACCAAAAAAGTTGGTAACTTATTTAATTTAGTGAACGATTGACTCTTTGTTCTTGATTTTCAAGGGTGGATAGATCACATGCCATGAAACTGTTATAAAAACCCATGTGATAAAACTAAAATCAGCAATCTCAACCGAAACCGCAATCTTCTAATAGAAAAAGTATTTTTGAAATGTGAATCAATGATGATATAAATGTAGTCTTCTTATTCCTTTTTTAATTTATGTAGATGGTAGTTACTACATTAGGAAACAACGATGTGATGGTGATATTAGACAACCACCTAACTAAACCAGGGTGGTGCTGCGACAACAACGACGGTAACGGTTTCTTCGGTGACCAGTTCTTCGATCCCACCGTATGGGTTGCCGCTTTGAAGAAAATGGCCGGCACATTCGACGGTGTCTCTAACGTCGTTGGCATGAGTCTAAGGAATGAACTGAGAGGTCCTAAACAAAACGTTAACGATTGGTTCAAGTACGGTAACATTATTATCTAGTCTATCTATGCGCGTACGTACATGCATATATTATTTTATAATTTTTGAAATTGATATAATTAAATGGCACGTTATTTATTGTTACTGGAGAAAATAGTTTATAAATTAATAATAAGATTTTGCATTAGGGGGTGTTATTCAACCTTGTATTTTAATTGATTTGGATGTATTTCAAAATCTAGCGTTATTTAACTATGTATTTTAAAAACCACAATAAAATCTGCTGTTATTGGATTTAACATTTGTTGGATGTATTTTAAAGTATTTTAAAACAAGCGTTATTCAATTTTCAATGGATTTTGTTTTCTTTAAGATTTTAATGTATTTTACATCTAAAACACGTACAAACACAATCCTAACACTTTTCAAAGGATTTCATCTCTTTCATACCAAATCCATCTTAATTGTATTTAATGGCTATTGAACTTTAAAATCCACCCGTAATTAAAATCCCTTAAAATTCTCCATCCAATAACACCCCCTTAATGTGCGTAGGTATATGCAACAAGGAGCTGAAGCAGTTCATTCAGCAAACAAGAATGTACTTGTGATTCTCTCTGGTCTCAGCTTCGACTGCGATCTCTCCTTCGTCAGGTCTCGACCGGTAAAAGTATCGTTCACCGGTAAACTCGTCTTCGAGCTCCATTGGTATTCTTTCAGTGATGGAAACTCGTGGGCAACCAATAACCCTAATGATATATGCGGTCGGGTTCTAAACCGGATAGGAAACGGTGGCGGTTTTCTCCTTAACCAAGGCTTCCCGTTGTTCCTAAGCGAATTCGGTATAGATGAAAGAGGAGGAAACGCTAACGATGACCGCTATTTTGGGTGTTTAACCGGTTGGGCCGCTGAACATGACCTCGACTGGTCGCTTTGGGCACTTACTGGAAGCTATTACTTAAGACAAGGCGTGGTTGGGTTGAATGAGTATTATGGTGTGTTGGATAAGGATTGGATTAGTGTTCGGAACTCAAGTTTCTTGCAAAAGCTTTCTCTTCTTCAGTCTCCACTTCAAGGTGCATATATATTGTGAATATTATTACAAGGTTCAAACAATATTTTGCTACAACAACTTTTTAATTTTATTTTAACCTATTGGTTTACTAGGACCGCATCCTCAAACCGATGCTTACAATCTGGTTTTTCATCCTTTAACCGGACTCTGCATAGTACGATCTCTCAAAGACACGACGATGCTTACTCTTGGACCGTGCAATAGTTCTGAACCATGGAGCTATACTAAGAAAGCAATAAGAATCAAAGACCAGCCTTTGTGTTTACAGAGCAACGGACCAAAAAATCCGGTTACGTTGACTCGGACGAGCTGCTCGACATCCAGTTCGATATGGCAGACCGTATCAGCCTCTAGGATGCACTTATCTTCGACAACGAGCAACAAGACTTCTCTTTGCCTTGACGTAGATGCAACCAACAATGTGGTGGCTAATGCTTGCAAGTGTCTGAGCAAAGACAGCACGTGTGAGCCAATGAGCCAGTGGTTTAAGATCATTAAAGCCACAAGGCCACTGAAGCATTCGAGTTTACATAAAGAGATCTCGTCTATGTCGTAAAGCATTTTGACTTGCTATAAACCTGTTAAAAGAAAATTAATTAGTGCAACATATATTTTGTTAAAAATTAGAAAATAAAATAAAAATGTTAAAATATAATTTCTTAATGTATCATTTCTTCAAGTAATGTTTATCATCTACAGTTAATTGATCTAATAGAGAAATATATAAATAAAAATGACACGTATATAGAAGAAAACTAATTGAGGAGTAAAATTGACGTAACTGAAGAAACGGAGCAAATACGTAAAAAGCAAAATTATTGAGGAGTAAAAGATAATTAAAATTACCCGTTGAGCCGGCCGTGGCATTGTTGTAAATCCAACGACGATTAAAAGCCAGAACGATGGTGGCGACGACGGGTCAACGCGCGGCTCGTGAATTCGACGCGCATCAATAGCCGACGAAGATGCTACAGGAAGCAATCGCTTCAGTTTTGTTTCTGTTTAGCCACCCGATGAGTCGTTCGCTTCGCTTGTATGACTCTGATACACTCTCTCTCTCGCCTTCAATTTTTGCTTACGATTTGTCATCTGTTCTTACATAATGATAACCAATGCTTACTTCTGAGACAATGCATTTTTAACTTTGGTCTTCAGATCAATGGCTTGATTAAAATGACATCAATGTTGTGCTATTGTGTTAAATGGGGTTAGTATGAGTTTGTGGAATGATCTTTAACTCTTAAGGTTACAAGTGTTAAAGTGTATGTTAATTTTTATGCTGATTTAATTGAATGCATATGAATTATTTCCAGCCTTCAAAATTAGCTGCTTGAGAAACTAGTATATACTATTTTACTGAGGTAACGTAGGAGAAGGTGAAGATGTTACATTGCAGTTTTGATGTTAAACATTGCAGTTTTCCCCTTAAAAGTCTTAATCTTTTGTAATGCTTCTAACTAGGGACATGACTCAAGTAACTTCTCCTACAATCTCTTCGTTTTTGATCTGTGGACCTTTACTTTTTCTAATCTTGGACGTGTATCTTCCTTTCCAGCGACTTTGGCGTGATAGTCACCTTCAGACCGTGCTTCATGTACAAGGTTGTAGTAACTCTGGGGACAACGACATGATCTTTAACAACCTTGATTGAGTACCTCAACAAGATTGAAGCAGCAACTGTCTTCATCTGTAGGTAAGCAAATGTTTTCCCTAAACACAGCCTTGGTCCAGCATTAAACACAACGTATTTGAATTGGTCATCACTCACAAAATTCCCTGCTTGGATCCACCTCTCTGGTTTAAATGATTCACAGTCTTTCCCCCAAATGGATTCCGTCCTTCCCATGGTGTAAGTTGCAAAGTAAATCCGTGAACCTTTACGTATGAAAGTCCCATCGGGGAAAACATCATCTTCAGTGGCTTGTTTCATTTCCATTGGAATTGGAGGGTAAAGTCTCATGCTTTCTGAAAGTGCTGCTTGCAGATATACCATGTCGTTTAGTTCTTTGACCGTGAAGAGACTCTCGTTTTTTCTGCTTTCGTGATCCTCTCGCTTTTTCAATATTTCTCTGATCTCACTGATGATTGTGTTTTCAACTTCTGGGTGTTTCTGTATCACCCAAAAGAACCATGTAAGTGCAACTGAACTTGTGTCTCTTCCAGCTAAGATGAAACTTGTGCAGAATTGTCTAAAGAATTTGATTGTGGAAGGATCTTTTTCATCAGTCTTCTTGTGACTTTCGATCTCAATAATCCTCGAGAGAACATCGGATTTGTTACCTAACGTTTTATCCTCCTTGAGCTGGCAGATACGATCCACAACTATCTTGTTGACAAACTCATGAACAACCTCAACAGCTTTCCTGAGACCTTTCTCATACCCGATGTCCAAGAACTTGAGGGACTTCCATATAAAAGGAGGAATCATGAATCGAAAGAGCGTAGATTCAGTTGCTTCTTCAAAAGCTTGAGCAAATGGAACAAGGGGAAGATCAGAATCCAGAGTTCCAGGGTCATCACCTAGACCCGCAATGCAGATGTTGTCAAATGTCAAGCGCAAGAGCACATCTTGGAGGTCGAAAGCCTCTTGTGACTTTGCGAAACTCTCCATCACCTTCAACAGCTTCTTCCTTACCAAGTCTTGTGTTGTCTGGAAGGAATGCTCCACGAAACGGGTTGAATGCATTTCGGTTATGATGATCCGTCGTTGCTCCTTCCAAGACTCAGCATCAGCATTGAAGATACCATCCTCGAGCAGATCACTGAACCGTTCTATAAAGAAGGTACCTTTGGGGAAGTTCTTGAAATTAGTCTTGAGCATGTACTCAACATTCGCAGGGACACAAGTCACAGCTCCAGAAGACCCACTAAACCACATTCCGCTATAGAGAAATGTACCTCGGCATTTTTTTAAACACCTTGTGACCCAACTATACACATCATTCCTGTGAAAGAAGAACTCTGGAGTGATTCCCAACACTGGCCATATCGTTGGGCCCTCCTTTTTGGTAATCTTCTCACGCAGGCAACAGAACACAAGGAGTCCAAACAACGCCAGTGAAACATCGGAAAGACAAAGATGATTATAAACTCTCTCTGTCAACGACATGGAAGTCGTCTGAGACATTGATAGTTATCTCAGTGAAATCTCTGTTGTTGTATGTGGTCAGATGAAAGTTATTGTTTGATGTGAGTAAAAGTGTACAAGGAACCTGAAGAGTCAAAAGAGTATATGAATAAACGTTATTATCATGCGTTTTCTGTTTTGGCATAAGAACTCCACTTTTGCTGCAATCTTCTTGCACAAACAGTTAGCTCTGAGGAATTAGAGTCTATTTCAATAAGAGATGAAGTTTCCTGTGGGACACGAAACGTTAATGTTCGTGCTAATGCAAATTGTATGTTTGGCAAAATGCGTTACAACCAAACGCCCAAAGAAAGATGCAAAATTTGCGTTCATGCCTTTGGTCACATCACCTTATAAATATCTAACTCTACTCACCAAAATAGCAAAACTCTGAAAAAATCGAATAAAATTTCGACTCATTGCTCTCATACTACGAAATGGGAATGGGCCTCAAATTACCAAAACCCAAGTCATTATCCATTGCCCCAATATTTTGGGCCCATATGGTTGATTGTTAAAAAGACCTATCTTGTTATCCTTTAAGACATGATGTAAGGAGTTGGTACGTTTGCGTAACCAAACTTGTAGCACTCTGCAAACACAATTATTTACATAACCTGACCTTTTTTTTTCAAGAATCTGGCAAAAATAATGGTGAGGAGGCTTACACCACAGTGAACAAGACTCTACTTCACTCCTACATGAACCCTAAAAAAGATCTGTTGAATTTGTAAATTCTGTGTTGCATCTTTAGCTTCAATATGTTACAGAGAGTGAAACACTATTCAGTTGTCAACACCAGTTACAACATTTTTTTAAAAAGATCTTAAACCGTACAGAACCAAAGACTATCAAATCCTGAACCGGTCTGGTTCAATAAATATCTAAACCTAAAGTATAAATTCAAAAGTCTCAATTTCTTTTAATTTCCTAGGGTTTCACTATCTCTCCCAAAACCTTCGATAATGGTCGGATCTCTAGGCTTAACGCCGGAATCCTTAAAGGCATCTGGCCGGAGCTCCGAGAGTGTCAGCCTTCTTATCCTTCAAGGTAAAATCAAACGTGACCCAGACGGTTACGAAACGGAGCTCCAATTGATTTACAAACAGTTCAAAACCTCCGTCGATGTCTTTCAGCAACAAGCAGCTGTCAGTTTCTCCTCCGTTGGCTCTGACCCTTCTGTTGCCAAAGACCTTGGTGACCGTGCCATGTTTCTAGCTCATGTTACTCCCTTTTACCCCAAGCAGCTCGCCGCGTTTCCAGCTCAATTGACTGATTTACTCCGCACTTCGTCCTTGGCAATGCCCTCGGGCCTTCGAAACCATGTTGCACAAGCTCTGATTCTTCTAATGAATCGAAAGGTTTGTGCTTTATTGTGAATTTTATTGGAGAGAAGTGTCATTTCTGAATTTGTGATTGAGGTGTGTTTAAAGATTAAAACTTTCAAATGATTGGTTGTTTTGGTCTGAGAATGATTTTCAATGTTTTTCACTGTGGTGTGATTAGAGTCTTGTCATCGAGGACTTGCTGGCTTTATTTCTGGATATTCAGACTCTTGGTGACAAAAACCTGCGAACTCTTGCCTTTTCTCATATTGTTCAAACCATTCGTAAGATGAGTGCCACTGATCCCAAACACAAATCACTTCAGAAGATTGTAATCTCTATGTTGGAGGTAAAATCTGTTCTCTTTCCCTCTGTTTCTTTGGATTGCGTAATGACTTATTAGTGGCGATTTTTACTAGATGATAGTTAAGCTTGGTGCGTTTTTGATTATAGCTAGAAGATGAAGCAAAGGCTAAGAGAGCACTTGCTACTCTTTGTGAGCTACACAAGAAAAAGATCTGGCTTGGTGATAAAAATGAAAGAGTTGCAATTGCAATCTGTGAAGCCTGCTTTCATACTTCACCTAGGTATATCCTTTTTTTCTAACTCTGGAGCATGTTTGATATGATTTTTCGTTGGTCAACTTGCTAACTTCTTTTTTTATATGTTCAGGATAATGATTTCCGCCCTTCGATTTCTTCTTGACTATGAGAACATTGACGATGATGATGATAGTGATGCTGAAAGCGATGATGACGAGGAGGCAAAGAAAATATCTCAGGTTGTGATTAGTCGACAGGCTATTTACAAGGTAAACAACATTTCATATATATGGATATTTTTATCAGAGAGTAGGAAGAAGACACTTTCTAGTTGTTGGTGATAGTTTCCACTTTATCGTTGTCTATATCATTTCATTTTTCAAACTAGTATGAAATTAGGTGATGTTTATATTATATCATGGAGCATTAATATATAGAAAACTGTTTTGGGTTAGTTTGTATAATATTTGTCCCTTTTCGATGTAAGGCAAACAACAAAGGTACATCCTCTAGCAAGAAGAAAAAGCAAGCAAAACTGCAGCGTGCAGTGAAAAGTATTAAAAAAAAGCAGCGTTCGTCGTCTGAGAATACCACTTCAGCATTTTCACCTCTTAATCATTTAAACGATGCTCAGGTTCACTTCTTAGCTTTGTGTAGTGCAATCACAATGGTATAGAAATGGCTATGATTGAATGTTTACTTCTTTTACAGAAATTCGCGGAGAGATTGTTTTCCCGTCTTCAGACCATAAAGGGCACTGGTGAACGTGCTGAGGTAATCCTCCCTGTTTTAATTGTTAAAAAGCCAGCTTTAACTTTGTCTTTCTAACTGATAGTTTTCTGTTTACATTTGATTTTCCCCTGAAATTTTAGTTTTAACAAACTGATGATTAGGTTTCCCGTTCTCTGATTATCTCAGTTGATTATGTTTCCTCTGTTGAATAAATTTGCAGACCAGGTTGATGATGATTAAAGTTATTGCTCGCACAATTGGTCTTCACAAGTTGCATTTACTAAGTTTCTATACTTTTCTTCAAAACTATGCTATGGTATGATCTGCTTACCCTCTTTATAATTTCTTCTGCTAACTGAAATTTGATCATTACCAGTTTTAAAATGCAGCCGCATGTTAAGGATATTACACAAATACTTGCAGCAGCAGTTCAGTCTTGCCACGATGGGGTATTGAAACATTTCCACCTTAAAACATGGTTGTCTTTCTCATTTATCAATCCTTCCAATTATATTATTTCGAGCAGGTTCCTTCTGATGCCGTGGAGCCACTGTTCAAGCAAATAGTGAATCAGTTTGTACACGACCGCTCACGTCCTGAGGTGCCATTTCAACTTTTCTTACAATAAGGGACATAAAGTTTCCTTTTCAATTCATTGTTTCATTTATTTAACCAGGCTATTGCTGTTGGACTCAATGTGGTACGAGAAATGTGCCTTAGAATTCACGAGGTAACTAGTTCTTGTCTCTGTGTCTTGGTCTACTATAAATGTAGTTGTCCAGCAGCGAACCTGTTTGGTCTGAACTGCGTTTTTGTTTCTTTTTTCTTCTTGTTGTTTTCAGTTGATGAAAGAAGAGTTACTACAAGATCTTGCTCTTTATAAAAAGTCCCATGAAAAAGCCATCTCAGCAGCAGCTCGTTCCCTCATAGCATTGTTCAGAGAGGTAGCAGAAGCATTTAATTTTTTGGTTTGAACAAAGTTATTGATGTATCTGATTAATCGAGAATTGTGTTCTGTAATTTCAGATCAACCCTTCGCTTCTGGTGAAAAAAGATCGTGGTCGTCCTGGAGCTACCGTTGCCAAACCTAAACAATATGGAGAGGCTCATGTCTTTAGCAATGTTCCCAACGTTGAATTATTGCAAGAAAGTGATCGTGAGAGTGGCTCTGATGGTGATCAAGATGATGATGACACAGGGTTGCCTAGCTGCGATGATGTTGAGCAGGAGCTGATAACTGATGATTGTAGTAGCGAGGAAGAAGCTGAAGACGATTCTAATGATGGTGATGATATGACTATAGCTGAAGATGATAGTGATATAGATACTTCAATAGGAGGTGGTGAAGACGAAGAGATGAATGATAGTGATGAAGCTGACACAGATTCGGAAAATGAGGTGATGGAAAGCGAAGATGACGATGGAGAAGCTTCTGATTCTTGTGGAGAAGATAGTGGAAATAAAGAGAAAGCAAAGGGGACAAAGAGGAAGATTGCAGATTTTGATGCGAATCTTCTCTCTGCTGATACAAGCCTACGAGCACTCAAGAGATTCGCAGAAGCAAAGACCGAACAGCCATCTTTTGATGAAAATGATGGCATACTTTCGAATGAGGACTTCCGAAAAATCAAAGAACTTCAGGTATATTGCCCAAGATATTAGAGCCCTTTCTCTTTTTGGATGTTCTTCATTCTGTTTGGTGTTTACTAAATGTTACTGTTGTGTGTCGCATATACAGGCAAAGAAGGAAGCAAAAATTGCATTGGCTCGAAAAGGTTTCAAGGTTCCGGATTCGGATCAGCTAAGTAAGAAGAGAGTCGATCCAGCCAAGCTTGAAGTAAGTTGTTGCTAATAAGAAGATCCATTGTAGTCACAAAAATGTATGGCATACTGGGGGAGGTATTTAATGCAAACTGATTTTAACTCTTTCAACAGGCTCACATAAGGCATAAGCTAACAAAGGAGCAAAGACTAGAACTAGTTAAAGCTGGAAGAGAGGACCGAGGGAAATACCAAGCCAGGGCTGCCATCAAACAGAAGAAGACTGGAGGATCAAGCAATAAACAGAAGGAGCACAGGAAGAATATGCCTCTTGCTGCAATAAGATCAAAGGCTGGGAAATCAAAGCGAACCAAGAAGATGAAGAATAGCCTCAGTGGAAGCCAGTTTAGAGGAAGGAAAGCCTGGAAGTGAAAAATGACCATAGCTCTTAATTCTTCTGTCTCAAAACTGAACACAATTTTGATTTTGTTTACTTTTTGCATAATTATGTTTTGTCTGTCTACAGTTTTGGTCTTGAGGTCGTTTCCTGTCACCAAACGTGTTATTTATAGTGAGAGTAATAGTTTCATAGATCCCTATGTTTTGTTCATTTTCCATATTTTATGGTTGGATACTTGTTGGTTTTTACCACCAAAATGTAAAACGGAACCCTAAGGAAAAAAGTTCATTCATTTCCAATAATAAGTCTCTTTGACATCTACAGATACACACACACACCAACAAAGGTTCCGGCCAAATTTTCACAGAAGCACAATGAGGGAATGGTGAAGATCTTTCTATATGTATTAAATTATCATCAGAGCAACAAAAAAACAAAAGAACATGTGATGATTGATGATTAAAGAAAGGTAGATGAAGATGAAGATGATAGCGTGTTACGCTGTTGCTGCTTCTTGAAAATGTCAGTGATTCTATCCCAATTTTTCTTCTCTCTTGCTTCCCAGTAACCTCCCAGATACCGATAATTCCCTTCTTCATCCTTCTCAAACCATCTCGGTTTCCATCCTTTCTCCTGCAGCCTCCTTGCCTGCAACACACAAACGTTACACTCTTCTACATTCAGTCATATGCTACTTACCATGGTAATGCACAATTACGTATATAGTCAAGATTAACAAATTTTCTTATAGATTTTGTACCTGTCTCTGTAACTGTTCCAGTCTCAGTTTCTCGGCATTTGCTGACTCATATTCACCGTTTTCTAAGTGTCTTTGGTCTGGTCTCAGTCTTGAATCTGTTGGAGGCAATTTGTCTAACATCCCAGGAGTTATCTCATTGAGAGAGATTGCAAAGGGGGAGAGATTGTATCTTGTTTTTGTAGGAGATTTGTCTCTTTCCCACAGTAATACCGCTTCTGTCATTGGATCATATCCTTTTGGTTTTGTTGTCGGATCTCCCAATACATAGTACATTGCTTCATCCCATTTGCCTATCAGTATAGCTACTTTCTCCCCGGTTCTGTTGTCTTGCACAAACCCATGAACCTGCATTACCAAATTCCATTAAAGGCCGGTTCATACTGCAGAAAAAGAAAACAAAAAAAAAATCATTCTACTACCTGACGAGGGTTTCGATCTATGACTGACTGCTCTTTGAATTTTAACCGGCAGGAATAATTCGCACCACCTTTGATCCGCATGGTTCCATAATGGTCGCAATAAAGTTTACCAAGGATGATGTTGTATATGGAAGTGGTAACCTTGCTCCATTGATATATCTCACCATCATCAAATCTTAATGTCAAGACACCCACTGGGTCAAGCTGGATTGACCGTCCCCAAAATTTTCCTTTGATATTTGAGTCTCCCCAGAAATTCCAACCTTGTCCTTCACAATGGCAAGCAACAATCATAGGATGATGACTCACCTGATTAAGAGAATTATGTTGGCAGAAAACGTGAGAGGTTGATATTATATATGTTCAATAGATTTTAAAAGATAATCTATTCTAACATTTTTTTTCACATTTCATGCATGATTTTCTAATACAACTCTTGTAGTAAAAAGAGGCAAATGCGTTGACTTGCCTTCTCAGAGAAGAAACGAAGTCCTTTATCTGGATAATCAGCTTCATAGGTCTCACCAAGTAGAGGATTAAAAGGTTTGCATTGCCTGCCTTCCGTGGATGCATAGCCAGATACAGCAAACGCTGCAATGTTTAGAATCCTCATCAACTCATTACCCTGAAATGAGTAAAGACTGTTAGGCCAGCAATATATTGTTATGGGCATTTTGAAATAGGCTGAATGGCCTGACCTGCTTCCCCCACTCAAGTGCTCTGTCTATCAAGTATGAGTACTCCAAATCTTCAAAGCACTTCTGCAGAGAAGAGAGTGGTTCATTAAAATATACGGGTAGACAAACTCCAGACAAGTCTTTGCCAATGTTTTCTTTGATGATTGACCACAATCCAACTGGCTTTTCTTTCTCTTTTGGCTCTGGTAAATTATCCCTTCTTCTGACATATGGATACTGCGGAATCCTAACTGGAACTTGCAATCGATCAGAAAAGAAGGGGTCTTTATCGTATATAGATCCATTTCCTTCAGCTTCTCTGCTACGATAAGAAGCACTTCTCAATGCGTCGGCTGATAGGATATCATTTGTGTCAAAGAAAGCTACATCATCTTCATCAGATTCAACATCTGCTCCATCCTGACTTTCATTGTCTGCCTCAGAATCGCTAACAGATACTTCTGACATGACTGAATAGAAATCTGTTGGAGAACAATCATGTTAGAACGTAAAACTGTCTCAACTGAGTCAAGGAAGAACTTACCATCAGTGAGACTTACAATTCCATATATAAATTAAAACTTGCAGTTGCATAAATGATGTAATGTAACTAACCACTAAATCGTCTTCCCTGTCCACAGCAAGAGTCATGCTCCTTTGTTTCATCAACAACAGTAGTTTCCAGCTCTATTTTCTCTGACTGCAAAATGATTTTTAGAAAACGACATCAATTATTCTACTTCCAAGCTGAAAATCTATATACCAAGTGAAGCAGACGACAAACAGGAACATACCTCTAACTGTCTCAGTGTATCCAGTAGTATAACGTGTTTATGTGTGAGAACCTTCAACCGGTTCTGCAGCACAGAAACTTCTGAAAGCATAATGGCTTCACAATCTTTTACTATTGACTCACCGATGCCTTCCTGCAGTAACTTTTCACGCAACTTCTCGGTAGAAACAACCGCATCTTCTGAGGGTAGGATGTCACCACTGGCCACTCTAGGAAAAAGATCCTTGGCCACCTGCAAAGCTTCTACCCAGACTGCTCTATTTTCTCTCGATACACAACGTAAATGAAGTGTCTTAGTACCAGTAAATATTGCAAGCCTTTTGTCATCAGACTTGCTTGCACGAATCGAAGAAACCTACAATAAAGCACTACAACAAACTCAGCTACCAGTCAAATGGAATGCAGAGTAAACCCTAGTCCCCAAATAATTTTCATGCAACATCAAAGCACAAACAAACAGTATTCAATGAGTTGGACTAAAATGAAGATCTATCTTTTACATAGTAGTATTCAAATTTCCAATAGCAAATGCAGCAAAAGGCAAATCATAAAATATCAACAATTCCCTTAGCTCCATAACTAGAAAGCAAAAACAAATATCAAGAAGGTATGGTTAAAAGACCTTCAAATGTATTTCTCCAAATGGTTTACAAGGCCTTGAAGCAGCTGCAGAAGCTCCAAGCCGGTTGCTACTGCCACAGCTAGCTTTCCTAATGTACCTAACAGATTCCTCACCGATGACCCTAACGCCCTTCTCTCTAGACGGATTCATCACGATCTTATCAGGTCCATGGATCTTATAATACGACAAAACACCATCCTCGAGCTCAAACCATCTAGCTCTCCAGCCTTTCCCATAGTTAACCCACTTATACATGATCCCAGCAACCCCAGCTCCAGCACCGACGCCATTCCCGAAGAAGAAACTTCCTTTAGAAGAAGAAGAAGCATCCTTCGCCTCGAGATTCACGTCGTCGACGACTTCGGAAGAGAGCCTCTCAAGCTGATCTTGGCTGATCCAAGAAGCCTGAGTCGAAAACGACGGCTTAGAAGCATGGTTACTACCCGATTTCGCAGCAGAAAAAGCTTCAAACCCTAACTGAGACTGATGATTCGTCGATGATTTGGCTACCACAGGGTTAGTCCGGTCATCAATCGAAACCGGAGCAATGCAGCAAAGAGGATTCATACTCTCTCACAACAATCAAATCAAAACAACATTGGTTCAACAAAAAAAGCTCCTACGAATCGAACATTGAAGCCAGATCCTTCAGGAAAAAAACATAAAACAGCGATCAAGCTCCAGCTGAAGAAACGAGATCCGGTGATGCGGATCGAAGAATCTATAACTAGAAAAAGGAAGAGCAGAAAGAGAGAGAGAGAGCAATGAAGGTGAAGACGAAGAGGAGGACGAGGAGAGAGGTATAATGGAGATTGTCAGAAGAGGAGGAGGGCTCACAGATCCAATTTAAGGCAGTGGTCAGTAATTTTTTGTGTTTGTGCAGTGTGCAGACAGTGCAAAGGGAGAAAGAGAGAGAGAGAAGAGAGAGAAGAGAGAGAAGAGGGAGCATCTCTCTGAATCGTTTAAAATCATGAAGAAAAAAAAAAGGTAATTATTAAATTACTATTAATGCTCTGAGTCAACATAATTGTGTTTATCTATGGACCAATGCCTAGTCGAGTATATTTTACCTATCTCATAAATTATTTGAAACTAAACAAAAAAAATTACCAAATGGTACTTGTCTTTTTTAAAATATATATATTTTAATTATTGTTGGTCTCAGTAACCAAAATATTCGTACCAATTGATGTTTTATTCTATGGGAGATGGAAATTGGAAGAAAAAAGAAAACAAAGAAGGTGTCAGTGAAAATATGTGGTATATTTTTGAATGGAATAATGAATACAGAGAACTTTTAAAAATAAAATAAAAGTACAACAAAGGCTATATGGATCCCTATTACTGTATCTCTATGTGGGTCTAATCATATAGACCGTTAATATTTATTACACAAAATTCTGATTTTTCTACCGACATTTAATTTTTATACAAAGGTTGCTAATGAAATTATTCATATAGGGACAATTTTATTCAGTTTTTATTTTTTGAAATTATTTCAGAGCATGGATTCATACCGTAGAAAAACTTTTGATTTTCCAGTATCTATTTAACTATCTAATCAAGATTATAGAAAATTAATTGGATTTATACCGTAGAAAATATGTGTAACCACATTTATAACCACATTTTTTTTGATGACTAGGAACCATTTTAGTTCTCTTACGTGATTAAACTATAACAATTCAATCGAAAGTTCTCAATGGGTTTTGCTGGTAGTTCAAACGTCGTTTGTCACTTGAGCTCTAAGATTGTTTTCGTCTTATTTGTGACTTTTACACATCCTTAATCAATAGGATTAACGCGTAATTATAAAACTCTTATGTGTGCATGAAATAGTATCTCTCATATTATTGAGTCAAAAAAAAAAAATTGTAATCAGTCCATATTTTGATTTTCTTCTTTTACAAATATTATAAT